TTTCACTGTATCCTTGTTTCAGATCAGCTTCCTCATTATTTCACTGTATCCTTGTTTCAGATCAGCTTCCTCATTATTTCACTGTATCCTTGTTTCAGATCAGCTTCCTCATTATTTCACTGTATCCTTGTTTCAGATCAGCTTCCTCATTATTTCACTGTATCCTTGTTTCAGATCAGCTTCCTCATTATTTCACTGTATCCTTGTTTCAGATCAGCTTCCTCAGTGACTTTGCTGACACAGTGGTTTCTGATGATCATATCAGGGGGTACCTTAAGGTAACCAAACATGCAATGCTTTTAAAACAAGCAAATCCTTAAATCATAAGAAGAAAGATTTTGGGGGTTAAGCTTAAAAGGCATTCCTTTGTATTGTGTTTATGACTGGTCTTATGGAAAAACCTGGTGGGAAAGTTGACTCAAGTGCTGAAACTTCATGTGTACAAATGACATTCAGGACATTTTTATATGAATGGGAAACGTATCTTGAATTCATTTTCTTCTGCATGCATGCTGTAGAGCGTTAATTTTTTAGTTACAGAATTAAGAAACTTAGGCAGCTGCTTGGGGGGTTTCTCAATTTATTTGAAAAATACTTTTTTTCTGCAATTGTAAGGTTGGAGCAGTGGTTGAGGCCAGACATCCAGTGACAGACGAGTGGATGGATGGTATGATCACGAAGCTGACTGATGCCAGTATGTACACTGTCGGTAAGTCTCCAGACAGGCTTCAGATGTAACACCTCCTTAATGCTGTGACACTTATCAGCTGACCAAGCCATCCAGTTGTTTGTAGGCTAGTTAATTGCAGGTTTATAGGTAAGAAGACCTCCAGTTTGAATTGTAAAGTCACAGCTACCAAAGTATAGCTAACCTGAACAGAATTCACATGCTCCATGCAAGAACAGGCTATCATGGATGCATTCCACCAAATGGTCGTATTTCTGCGCCCGAGCTCATTAATATTTTGTGATCCCACGGGATTTTTACAATGAGACAGGCCATAATCAGGAGGCATCATAGAAATATTTCTATCAATCCCGAATTCGGGACTGATAGTTTCCAGTTCAGGGCATTTCTTTCACAAAAAGCCCCAAACTGCAGACCTATTTTGGATAGAGGCGGGAAGCTACATTCAAAAATGAGCACTTAGTTTTACTGATATTTTGGGGGTATCTTCCGTCAAAGGCGAATAAAAAATTTTTTTTGTGGCTAACCCCATGAAATTAAAATGAAAGTGATCTTCTGGCTATACTCTTGAGTTTCCAGTGAAAAAACGAAGGCCAACCTCTCGTGAAGAGTCAACAGGCGGCGCTATTTCGGTCCAATTTTGTACTGTTTGCTATGGGCACGTAGTTGGTGTACTGCAACCTCGTCTGCATTAAACTATAGTGAAAGCAAATTTTTTTATTGAACCTTTGGATCAAAATAACTCGCAACTGCCGAGTTGAAATAAAGACTGGCCTGCTGCTGCCGAGGCCTAATCAAAATTAAATAAGGACTGCTCGTAACCTGCTGAGCTTATAAAATAAATATTACCGTCAAACTGTAGACTAGGTAGCTTCTCGGCTACGGTACCCGTCAGCTGTGAGAGGCAAATGCCACCGAGCCAGTTTTCAAAGCCCAAGCGGCCATGAAAGATGAAACTCTGACGTATTTGACCTCGTAGCCTCGGCACAGTTGTGGGAAGAGAATGTGTGTGTATTGTCCACGCTAGGCCTTTTATGGACGCGCTACGCTCCAAGGGTTACGGAGAATAGGATAATGTTCTACCTACTGTAGTCTGGCTTTTTATTTACAACCACCTGGCCGCAATCTTGGGCCAAAGAAACTAAATGAAGGAATTCACTACAAAAATAGGGGATGACAGATAAACTTTCTTGTGACCGTGGCTCCCCAGACCAGAGTCTTCCATGACTGTCCACTCAGGCTTTCCGCTGGCAACATCAGGGCCACCTACAAAGTGACCGTTGCTACCTTGGCCTGGATGACCACCCTTGACCTGAAGACTGTAGTCTTTGCATGCCATACGTAATGTAACTGCAAGTTTGTTCCAGTTGTTAACTTCAGAATTCTTGAGTGTAAAAGAGCCAGTTTCCCCTATGGGTTGCAGTCTTCCCACTGGCTTGACCGTGCAGTAACACATTTCTCATACTTGAGGAGACAAAAAAATGTAGAGTTAAGCCCCATGGAGCAAATTTAAAGCATTCTTTACTAAAAAATTCACACTACTGTCCTATGAGTACTTCTTTGCGTGCATTGCATGCATTATTTTTGTCTTTTATTTATAAAAAGGTCCAAAAGTGAAGTGCTTCTTTGAGCACAGGGCTTGCTGAATGTTTGTCTCTGATATTTGTGTTTCTGGCAGTGTATGACGATGGAGACGAGAAGACATTAGGGAGGTCATCGCTGCGTTTGCATGACAGGCAACTTATCAATGAGCATGAGGTGTGTAAAAGAGGAACATACGAAAAAATACCTAATTTGAGCTACGGTATGGACCAAATTAGATACCGTATTATTATGAACAGACAGACATGACAATTTTGGGTAATGTATTTTTTGGTCTTAGACTTGAAATTGCTCTAACTATACTTTACTTTAACAAACCGAATTCTTAAATGTTGAGTATGATTACCAAGCACAATGGTTGTTGACTTTCTCATACATGAAAGCACCTTCTAGCACCGCATCAAAGGATTTTTTTGCTTTTTGTGTATGTTTTATTTATTTTTATCAATGAATGTTGTTTTCTATACCTTTATGAAATGAACAGGGATTGTCACTGGACAAAAACTGGTTTATTTCAGGAGTTTCAAAATGATATATACAACTGGGAGTTTTTGTAGGAACAGTTTTGGATAAAATATGGCAGTATGCATGAGAAATGTTATTTGCACAAGCAATGGCCCTAGGTATATTCCAATGATGAATATCAAAGTCTGTGACATGATTAATGTAAAATCATCTTCGAATACACATACACACCATTTCATCTGTGCAATTTCAATGTGACTTGACTTTCAATGAGTTATTAGGCTTAGAAGCCCCTGAACTCCAAAGAGGAGATATGGAGATTACTGTCCCAAAATTGGATCAAAGGAAATATTCACTCGAGTTTATCTCAAAGTGCAGTTTTCCCAAAGGTACAAGTGTTTAGGACTAAAGAACAGTATAGTGTTGGAGGTCATGGAGGCGCAAAGCCAGCTTTGCAGCTGCATGTAGGTACATGAAATAGGACAACTGAGTGTGTCTGAAGTTTTTTTCTGGTAAACATTCGATTTCATTTCTCCCTTTGAGGGACCTTTTCTTCAAGTAAAAATTTACTTTCTGTCCTCAAAACAGATGGACAGAAAAGAATTGCCTTTCCTTCCGCGTGGAACTGAAGTCAAAGTCATGTACAGAGGTGCTCTCTGTGATGCCAAGGTGGAAACTATTAAGAAGTCAGTGAAGTGTAAGGTGAGTTGCCTACATGTATGTTATCACAAGAAGCCAATTTTATGAAGCTAGTAAGAGATTTGCCAGGAAGAGAAGATTCATTCAGGTGGGATTATCTTGATTAGTAAAAATTTAAAAACTTTACCAGCCGAGTACAAGAACTGATTTTCAGTTATGAGTACATGTACTTGTATCTCCGTGTACTAGTACTTCTAATTACAAGTACAAGTCAGAGTACATGTACTTTAAGTCTGGGTAACTAGTCAAATTTGTTTTGTCAAGTGTTTTGAATTTTCAACTGATTGTTTTGATTAAAATCTGCCATAGCATTCCCAAATCAGTGTGTTTGGGTAGCCTAGGTGAACTCCTTGACCACACTACATGTACGTTACGGCGTGATTACAGGATATGAAGGGTCAAAAATAGGGGAGAAATTTTAGAACTAAAATTTTCAACACTTCCACCTTTTCCAAGGAGCTAATTTCACATCTGTAACTCCTATGCGTCCTTATCTCCACAGCTGGTGGGTTGAGAGATTCAACTCATCAACACAAAAGACAAAAACGGGAAAGAAGTAATGTTAATTCTTGCCGTTGTTGTGGACTGTTTTCAGCCATTCTCCAGTGCAGTTCGTACAGTATGCACGCACAACTATTTGGCATACGAAATTTCGAGCCACGTACACGGCATGTCTATGGTATACACACATAAAGCACGCGCAACTTGGTTCTCAGCCCCGAGTATTGATCTCCATGCGGAGTATGCACAACATCAGGCAGGGGGCAAGGCTGTGGCGTGCGTTGGTGACGGTTGGTTATATTTACTTGCATGCAAGCTGAGCCTACAACGGGGAAGCTAAAATTTAGAATTTGTCCAAATTCTAGCCATTTTTGGCAGCATTTACACTGCAAACCTTTGTATTATGTGTCAACATGTGGACTGACAAAAGGTGTCCACAAAATTCGATAAAAGTTACAGGACTCCCGGCAGCAGGCAAGGCAAGGCTTTGGCAAATTTCTGTTGCTAGCAATTTACTCATATTTGTTGATTTGTCCCCTTTTAAAAGTTATACCGAATCCATGTTTTTTTTTTACATTTTTTTTTTAGAGATGGAGAACTTTTTCAGAATGCCCAGGCACAAATATTAAAGTTGAAATAAGTATTTAGTCAATAACGGCAATTAACAATCATGTTCTCTTGGGCCTTAATTTAAAAATGGAAAATTACATATTTTTAGATTTATTGAGTATTTTGAAATTGCACATTGTTGGGGATCCATCGCCCGATAACCAGACAGTGCTCCAGCATGACCATAAACTTCAACCTGACAAAATAAGCCAGTGAAGTTTAAGCCCACTGACAAAAATGTTCTGTGACATTTCTTCACTGGCGAAAACGTTAACAAAAATATCGGAATGCACTTATGATTTATACCATTGAGGACTCCAAATAACTATACGTGAAAGTGTCAAGCTGTTTGATGTACATATAGGCCTACATAAGCATCTCCTCCCCAAACCCCCCCCCCCCAAACCATATGAGTCACATGATTTTTTAATCTTTTTAAAGTTGACACAGTCTAGCCATCCGTCCATTGCTCTAAAATTCAATGCGTCACTGCCAACTACGAATTCAGTCTGCTCATTATAAGTTTGGTTTACAAATGAAAAAAGGAAAGGCCAATCAACAGCACAGTTTGTGCATGATCGCTTTTTACCGCAAGTGCGTGCACCAGCACTGCGTCTGCATACTGTTTTTCACCTGGTCATCATTATCATTACGCCCGCAATGCAATCCTCTTTTTTATTCCTCGGTTATCAAGATAAGTTTCATTTTAATAAAAATTAGATCTCTACAATATTGTGTATTTATACATCTTTAATCAATGAAAATTTACGAACAAATGAAACATGTTAAACACTTCAAAGAGAGATCCTTTACGAACTTAGGCCTATTCCCATACAAGAACCCTGCATATTATAAGGCCAGCTCCGCTGACCGAGGTTATTCTTATAAAATAGCAGGCTGTTTTGCAAATTTATGTTTATAAATCCAAAATGTAAAGCAAAACAAAATAATTGACATGTTAGGGGTAACCGCTGGAGGGTTATTGGTCAGTCTGAAGCTGCTGATCTGTCAAAAACGGTACCGCATTTTTATATCGGCAGGCGGGTTAAAGCCAAGTACCAGTCATGGCCTCCGTGTAGTAGACGTGCAACAGACCTTCACTGGAAATCGCGCACGCATAGTACGTGCATGCAGCTCAGGTTCCTGTACGTGCATGCAATTTGCAACTCGAGAACTGATGAATTACGTCTACAACTGTGAAAAACAGCAACATTGTCTCTCACTCATCTCCTAAATTTTGCAGTCCATGGTTCGTTCTGAAATTCCTTAACCGCCCAGATGGACAGATAAGGCCACAAAAAAACTTGTGAACGCGAACAATTAGTTTCTTCAACAAGGTAAACCACGAACAAATTTGAATCAAATTTTTGGTTGTTTTGTACCCAAGTCTTAGAACCTGGACATCGGTCGTAATGAAATGAAGATTGGCTTCCAACCTGGGCTATATGTTTGGGTAAAGTTGCAGATTATAACCATTCCATGTGTGTATATTTTAGGCTCTTTGGCAACACACAGAAGTACATGTACAACATTTATATGGCACAAGAAAGATCATCAGTTCTGATGCACCAACAACAGCAAAAACATTTACTTAGAGATAATATGTTGAAGCATCAAGAATGAGCAAATGCCGTTGATGCATGGCCCAGTTTCACTGAGCTGCTTAAGTACACAAGTTGCTGAAATGCCAAATAAACTTGCTAAAAAACAAAGGTTACCAGTCCAAACTCTGTGACTGTCATACCAACCAAAAAAATGTTAATAGCATTCTGAAACAATATACATCACAATGGAGTTAAAATTGGTGATGGGTGATCTGTGCTTACACTTGGACATGTACAATGTACAAGTACATACCAGGACGTCTCCAACTCGTGATGTTTCATGCACGCACAATGCAAATGCATAAATATGGATTGGTGAAGTCTGTTTCCAGACTTCATATTCCTATGCCTGTGTTTTTCTATATTCTATGTCAGGTCCTGGAACCAGACCAGCTACAACTAAATCAAGTGTTTCGTAGTTTTGGACCCAAGATATCTTTCGGGGTGCTGTGATCTGTTATTGCATGCAGTGTATGTACACTTTACAAGGCGATACAAAGTGACAGAGCCCCTTCCCCCCTTTGTCTGGTGATGGGTCGTGTTGCGGAATAAACAGGAAGGTCTTGGAACCAAGACTAGGAATACACCTGCGTTTCGCTTTCGTAAATTGGCTAAGACGGCGAATGTGTAGGCCTTGTGTTTGTCGTACAGAGTATCGGTCTGTAAGGATCAATTTTCTTGTATTTCAATGGCCGTAATGGGATTTAGAGGATTTTTTATCGATTACTGCTAATCTAGCACGAGCACCTCTATGCTCGAGTGAAGTTTTATTCCGAGTATTTTGCAGCCCGAGTACAAGAAATGTTTTAGTACAAGTACTTGGAAATTCGAGTACAAGTAAGACGCAATTCCCTGAAAATGGTACTCGAGTACGAGTACTACAGCACTGCTAGGAATATGTCTGTGAAATGGCATATATCCAACTATCCAATGTTGACGAATCACTGAATAAATGACAAATGGACAGATTTCAAAATCCTGTGTAATGTTGCCCGACATGCCCACAGATAACATTACTTCATTCGTATCCTTGTTTCAGATCAACTTCTTTGGTGGCATCAGTGGCGTACAGGTTTCTGACAATTTCATCAAGGGGGACCTCCAGGTGAAAATGTAATATTTTAAGATTTAAGCCTACGTTTAAATCATAAGAATGAAGTTTGTTTTGGTCAAGGTACTCAAATGAACTGGGTCAAAGGCATTCGTACTATGCCATAATTTACCCTGTTACTTGTGACTTGTCTTATGAAAGGACTTGTGACAGATTCAACTCCAACATAACCTTACCTTAGACCATTGATATCTACTATGAATAATCATAATGTGAACAAGAAATCTCTGTCATTTGGTTTCTTGGCATGCATGCTGTAGAGTGCTGACTTCTTGGGTCAAAGAACCAAGAAAATTTTGTCGGTCATTTGCTGTGTGTTTACTCGAAATAATTACTTAAAAATGATCTCTTGAATTTTGTTATTGTAAGGTTAAAGCAGTGGTGGAGGCCAGACATCCAGTGACAGAAGACTGGATGGATGGTGTGATCATGAAGGTGACTGATGACAGTACATACACTGTGGGTAAGTCTGCCCAAACAGGATTCGAACAGAACACCTCAGTAATGCTATGACAGTTTAGCCACATGTAGCTGTTCATAATTGATTGCAGTGTTGTGGAATTGTGTCTGGGCCTTAACTTCAGTAATGGTTGATGTTTTTCCAGAGGAAGTAGTTTGAAACCAGGAGGTGTGATGCAGAATGCAGCTGAGCTCTCAAAGAGTGAAATTCCGACTCTTCGGTTACACTATGCATGCGTACATGAAAGTGACGATTTTCACGTTTTTTGGGGGGCTATAAACATAAACTAGAAATCAAAACTTCACCTGAAAACAGGCTATTAAAAGTAACAAGAACTTGATGTCACACTTCTCCCAGAACAGGATACACTGAAAAAGTGTTTTTAATGTCCGTTTTTCCTGCAGTGTTTGATGATGGAGACGAGGAGACACTAAAGAGGTCATCCCTGTTTCTGTGACAAGAACAACTCTTCAGGGGTGTGAGATTGAGGTGTGTGAAATAGGAAAAAAAGTCATTCAATGCCTTTTTGTAAATGCAGTATCTACCATGGTTTTTGTTAGACTGGTTTAGACTGGTTGCTTTCTTTTCCTATTGCACCAATCTGCAGCACTGAAATCAGGAACCTTACAGGTTATAACAAGTGGATATCAGACTTTATTTCTCTTAATAAAAAGTTTATCAGAAAAGAAAACACATGTAGAAGTAAACATGGGATTTGATTGAGAACTAGAGGTAAGAAAGAACAAAAAAGGAGGGCTGTGCGTCATTTTGCCTCAAAGGGAATTTTCAAAGCTACCATATATTCAACAAATTGAAAATTAAATCTCAACTGAGTAGAACTGGTCCTAGCAAATTGAAAGGATAGCATGATGTAAATATGACAAAAATACTGTGGCTTTTTCTGTTTTTTAATTATTTTCATTTTTGTGGTTTTTTTTCAGAGGTTGGTTCTGCTGTCCAACTTCTGCTCTCTCATCATGCGAGAAGTCATAAGCAGGAAGAGAATCAGTAGACATGGCGTTCAGTTATTGGGAAGGGACTACAAACAGAAATATGAAAT